GATGCCTTTTTGTCTTCATTTTACTCTCTTTGCAGCTTTCCAAATAACTGATCATATCTTCCTTCTTGAAATGCTCTCAGTGAAGCCATGGTTCTTAGTAAGCCATCTTCTTAGTGTTCTTCCTTACTGTGGCTACTTCTCAATCTCTGTGGCAGATTTCCCGTTCTCCTCTACCTAGCTTCAGAATGACTGGGGTGGGGGGCTTGTTCATCCTGAGATGGGGTTCTGCCTCTCCCTCTCCATCCCCCATTCCCCATATTTGTATCTTGAGGACTCTCTGGTGTGTATCTCCATTTCTGACCTCACCTCTGAGTACTAGACTCATATACCTTCCCCATATGTGATGTCTTCATCAAATATTTCACTGATACCTCAAACTAAACATTACCAAGCTTAGCTCATAATTCCTTCCACCCCCTACTTCCCATCTCCCACAACAGGTTATTTTCCCCCAAATATCCCCTTTCGCATGCCCATTCACCCAGTTTCTGAAGCCATATCTTAGAAGGTGACCTTGATTTCTTTTCTTCCTCCTCCTAACTTCCGTCTTGAATCCATCAGCAAGACCCATGGTTTCCATGTCCTGAAAAATTCACCTGTTTGTTTTCTACAATCCCACACCAAGCCACCAGTACCTTTTGCCTGGATTATGCAATAGCTTCCGAATTGGTTGCCTTATTTCTTTTCCGTCCCCCACACCATTCGCCACATAGCAGTCAGGCTGATCTTTGCAAAATGTAGATGGCATCATGCCACCTCCCTACTTAAACTTCTTCCAAGGGTCTTAGCTATACTCAGGACAAAATACACACCTTTTAACATGGACCCCAAGACCTCATGCAATGAAGGCAGGAGATTGGCTAATGTATTCAAAATGATGTCTATAAAGAGCTTACAGTCTATTGAGTTCACAGATATAATTCATGCCAACAAAGAGCCATGCCAGACAGCAGCTACTTAAATATAAACCCAAGTGACACAAATAGAAAGAGGTGTAGGGAGTCAAGGAAGACTTAGAGGATAGCTAGAATGGAAGGGGCCACCGTTGTGCACTCAGCAGGTAGCACAGTACCCAGCACACAGTTGGGGTGAATAAATATTTGCGGAACAAATGAATGACATGATTCCTGACATACTGGAGCCAGTAAGTAAACAAATATTTGGCCATATGATACATGAAGGCAGGGGTATGTACATTCAAGGTGCTTTAAGGGTATATGGGCAGGAATTGTCAACTCTGCTTGGAGAGGGGTCAGGGAAGACTTCCAACAAGGAAGTGACACTTAGCTGGAGCTTGAAAAATAATTAGGGATGAGTCCCGAGAGATAAGCAGGGACAAAATCCTAGGCTGAAGACACTGGAACACAGATGAATTAAAAGTAGGGCTCGTTCCTGGTGGGGGCCATTAGAGCACCAGATAAGACAATGTGTGGCCAAGTATTAAACTGTATATCACAGTCCCCAAGGGCTTTGTGAGAAGGTGGAGGTGTTGGGGGCAGAAATGCAGGCTGGATTACTAGTGGCAACTTGGGGGCAGATTTGAGTCACTACTGGGCCTTAAAATGTAAAACCATGATCTAAATGGAAGGCAATATGCTAAGAAAGGTCATAATTAATATTAATGAGCAGACAGTCACCGATGACGAGAATCACTCAGGGAGAGCAGAAGCCAGGCCGATGAGGAGGGGGTGTCAAATGGCTCCAGCAGCCACTCTCTCTGGCTCTGCCATGGTGGGAGGGGGGCAGGGAAGCACCTGATAACTCATGTGGTCTGGGGCAGGAGGCTCCCTGCTATGCACCTGTTCTAGCTGCCACCGTCCCTGATCCTCGTGGAGGGCTGGTCTTGGGAAGAAGCCCTCCTCCCTGCAAGACTATTGGTGTTCCCAGGAATGCTGATCCCCAGGAGAGGTTGCTCTGCCTCAGTCTGCAAGGGTGGGAGCCTGGGTTTCAAACACTTGCCCCTCCTTGCTTCTTCCCTGCCCGGATTCTGCAGGGGCAAACCCATGAGGATTTGGGGATGGTCTGCAAGGTGGGGAAATTCAAACCCAACGAGCGTCTGCCTGGAAAACGTTTGTCCAGGTGGGACAGGTGACTGGAAACACCCTGGGCAGTTTTGGTAGAGGACAGGCAGCCAGAGCAGGGCAGTCTGAGGGGGCTGTGGGAGGGATGGTCCCGTCCCCCTTCTCCTCTTTGGGGAAGGATAGAGCATGTGGGTGGTCTTGGGTCTCTTTCCTTTTTGTTTTTATTTATTTATTTTTTTTAAAGGTTATTTATTTTGAGAGAGACAGGCAGTGAGCACAGGAGGGGCGGAGAGAGAGGGGGGACAGAGGATCTGAAGCAGACTCTGTGCTGACAGCAAGATCATCACTTGAGCTGAAGTTAGATGCTTAACCGACTGAGCCACCCAAGCAGCCCCTCTCCTTTTTAAATCACAAATCTACCCTCGACTCTGCTTACAACCTACATGCCTCATCTTCGTGGTCTTAATCATGATGATGGAGGTCTAAAGTATCAATAGGTAATGATAAAGCTAACCTCTACCGAGCCAGCTAGCATTCTGAGGCCTTTACATTAATTAACTCATTTAATCTCTCAGTAACTCTGAAACAGGTGCTTTTGGCAATCCCATTCTATGCACATGGAGACTGAGGCTCAGAGGGGTGCAGAGATTGCCCAAAGTCACACAGATACAAAGTTGTAGACCCAGGATTGGAACTAGGCAGTATGGTTCCTGGAATCACGGTGGCTCACTCCTTTCAGGGAGTGGGATGGAGGGGCTCTCAAAACTCAGCAAACCAATGAAGAATGTGGCCAGGAGCTAGCTGTCAACAGAGTTCACTGCCAGGTTCTCAGAGCCTCTGGCCAGGGAATGAGGTGCTAAGCTCTGTCACCTGGAACGGGGCGGGGGGTGGGGGGGAGGAGGAATCTTACACTTTCAAAGCCTTTGTTTTCTCATCTGTATAACAGGAGAGTAATTGCTGACCTGCAGGGATGTTGGAAAGAGAAAATGAAGGAGCACGTGCAAAGTGCCTGATGCATCGAAGTGGGGGCCCAGCAAATGGCTTCCTACTCTCCTTTCTCTCCTGGGTAAAAAGTCTGCTGTAGGCTAGGTTCACTCATCTTTTCCACAAATATGCACTAAAGGCCTATATGGACCAGGTGACAGATCTTATTCTACGCCCAGGGAGACACATCCACAAAGAAAGAGGCTGGAGCAAGGTGGTCTGGGGCAGGGAACTGACCCAGAGTGACCAGGGGGAAAAAAATGGATTTTTCAGGAACCCGCAAGAACACAATACCTGCTAAATGAACGTTCCTCTCAAAGCAACAGCCTCAGGAGCGCGCGGGGTTGTGCCAGAGTTGCTGACATGTTGCCAAGCACTTGGACTTTCTTCCCAGGCCTGGCCAGAGGCATTCCCACATCAGCGAGCGTTGGAGCAGGTGCTGACCCTTTAGGAAAACAGTCTCAGAGAAGCGAATGTTCAAAGTCACACAGCTGCTCAGGACGAGAACAGAACCGGAAGACCAGGGCTTTTGATTTCTGAGCTGGAGATCTTCCCAGTATACAGGAGTGCTTCCCATCCTGCCTTTATCCTCACATGCTGCACTGGAGATGAGAATGCTTCTCCAAATCTACTGTCCCCTATTTTTCAAAACTTTGTCTCCGAATGGCTTTGGGCGATTTTTTTTTTTTAAATACATATAACTAAACGCACCTCAGTAGGAGGGAACTGGGGATGTTCAAAGAAACCTGTCTGTGGACCTGCTTGTAGTGGTGGGCCGGGAGTGCGAGCTCCGTGTGCCAAATGCTGGGCGTCAAGGATTTGCATTTAAATGATCTTTATGCAGAGGATAAGGGCCAGTGATTTTCTTGATGGAGGAAACGGGCTGGGGCTAATAAAGTCTGGTGTTGGGGGGTTTGGGCTTTTCAAAGAGTCATTCAAAGAGTTGGCAGGGTGGTCTTCTGGAGCCTATTAACAGCTTGGAGTCCTCGGGCTAGGGGTGTGGAAAACCTTCCAGAAGCAAGATTGATTGCATTCTGAAGAAGCTAAGTCAGGAGGGCTTTTGGAAAGTCCTTCGTTCCAGGGCCTCACGGGACTGAGCTTCTCCTGGATTCGGCGGACGGAAGTCTGGTCCTGCTTGCTGGCAGGGGGATGGATTAGGTGACCCCCGAAAGGACCCTGCTAGCACCGGGATTCCGGATACTTCGAGGCGGCGTGGCGTCGCGGGTGCGCCCCGGAGTGCGCGCGTGGGCGTCTGTGTGCGGTGGGTGGGAGGCGCGTGCGGGCCGCCGTGGGTGGGTGTGTCTGAGGCGCGGGGGCCGGGATGCGCCCGCTGCGCCCACTTGTGGCTCCCGGGCGCCGCAGGAGAAACGGCGCCTTTGCCACCTCTGCCCAGGACGCCGCGGGGCGCCGTCTCCCGAGTGATGGCAGCGCGCGCTGCCTCGCCGCCTCCGCCGCTCAGCCCCGGACTCCTTACGTCAGGGTAGCTGGGTCCCCCCTCCGCGCGGGAGCCAGCGAGCAGCGGGAGAGCAGAGCAGAGCGCGCCGCGGAGCCGGGGCGCCCTCATCGCGCGCCGAGCCCCGCCGAGCCGGGCAGGAGGCAGCGTCGCCGAGCCCGCGCGGGACGCCGCATCCGCACCCGTCGCTCCCCAGCCGCCGCCGCCGCCCGGACCCGAGGGGCGCCGGGCTCAGCCTGGGCACCCCCCGCCATGCGCGCCGGGGTCCGCGGCTTCCCGGAGCAGCCCCAGCGCGGTGGGCACCGGCACCTGGGCCGAGGCGCCTCTCGCTAGAAGTGGTTGGGCGCCCGGAGCAGGGGGTCGCCACGTCGGGGACGCGGCCCGGACCCGCGGAGTCGGCCCCTGAGCGCGGGGAGCGGGGCCGCCCGCGCCGCCCCACCATTACCTCCCCGGGCGGCAAGGAGGAGCTGGTGGCGGTCGCCTCCCGGCTGTGGCAGCGGCGGCGGCGCGCCTGCCTGGCGGCCGTCGGCGTGCTCCTGGCCATGGCTCTGGGGCTGCTCATCGCCGTGCCGTTGCTGCTGCAGGCGGCGCCCCCCGGCGCCGCGCACTACGAGATGATGGGCACCTGCCGCATGATCTGCGACCCGTACAGCGCCGCACCCGGCGCAGGGCCCGCGGGAGCCAAGGCGCCGCCGCCCGGACCCAGCACCGCCGCCTTGGAAGTCATGCAAGACCTGAGCGCCAACCCCCCACCCCCTTTCATCCAGGGACCCAAAGGCGACCCGGGGCGACCCGGCAAGCCCGGGCCTCGGGGTCCCCCTGGAGAGCCGGGCCCGCCTGGACCCAGGGGTCCCCCAGGGGAGAAGGGCGACTCGGGGCGGCCCGGGCTGCCCGGGCTGCAGCTGACGGCAGGCACGGCAGGCGGTGTCGGGGTGGTAGGTGGCGGAACCGGGGGCGGCGGCGACTCTGAAGGCGAGGTGACCGGCGCGCTGAGCGCCGCCTTCAGCGGCCCCAAGATCGCTTTCTACGTGGGTCTCAAGAGCCCCCACGAAGGCTACGAGGTGCTCAAGTTCGACGACGTGGTCACCAATCTCGGCAATCACTACGACCCCACGACCGGCAAGTTCAGCTGCCAGGTGCGCGGCATCTACTTCTTCACCTACCACATCCTCATGCGCGGCGGCGACGGCACCAGCATGTGGGCGGACCTCTGCAAGAACGGGCAGGTCAGTACCCCTTCACCCCCGCCGGCCCCCGCAAATCCCCGCAGACGCTTGTCCCCACCCCGCGCTCCAAACCGCCTGGGAAACCGGACTCCCCTCTCCCCACTGGCGAACGCGCAAGTGAGCCCCGGGAGGGAGCGCGCCTCTGCATCCCGCTTCCAATGCGCCCTGGTCCCGTTTGTCCGAGTGTGGCGCCGGCGGCTGTGCCCCGAGAGCCCAGAGACCCCGCCACCCCAACTGCACTTTCCAGCTGCTAGCGTACCCGCTGGCAGTCCGGTGGCCTCCCTGGAAACCTCATTTTCCTTTAGCCTTCCCTTTGCGCCCCGTCGCCCCTGTGCCCTCCAGTCTTCTTCTTGGCCCTTGTCTCCTGGTTCTTCCCCTTCCCCGCTGGGTCAGGGTTTATGAAGCCCCCTCTCTTCTTTTCTGAACTTGACTTGCCGGCTGCCGAGAGAGGAGGGGACGCGAAAGGAGTTGGCCAAGTTGGGGGGGGGGGAGAGGCCTGATTGGGAGCGTGAACCCTGGAGCTTGGGGCAGAAGGCTGCGGGGGGCTGGGGGGTGCCATGTCGGGGATGGGTAAGACCCAGGCAGAGGTGCCCTGGCCCACCTGCTCTGGCGGCTCGCCCCCAGGTCCGGGCCAGCGCCATCGCTCAGGACGCCGACCAGAACTACGACTACGCCAGTAACAGCGTGGTGCTGCACCTCGATTCAGGGGACGAGGTGTACGTGAAGCTGGACGGCGGGAAGGCGCACGGAGGCAACAACAACAAGTATAGCACGTTCTCGGGCTTTCTTCTGTACCCGGATTAGGAGCGCGCGGAGCGCGAGGCGGAGGAGCTGCGGGCTGCTCTGGGCCCGCGGCGGAGAGCTCTTCCCGGGCTGCAGAGGACCACTCTCGCTTCCTGACACTTCCTGACATCTGCGGAAAAGACACGTCCCTGCCGTCCTCCCTGCCCCCCTCCGACCTCAGTGTGTCTGCAACTCACCAAGCTCGCTCAGCTCTGGGCTGTCCTCCTGGTCCCTGTCCCCAGCCTGGGGAGGGAGAAGGGGACGCCCAAGTGGCGAGGGGAGCCTGAACCTGAATTCCCCCGGAGGCGGAGACAGCTCAGTGCAGACTTGGCAAACCTGATTGGACGGGACAGGCCTGGCGGGTGGTCTGCCCTTCTGGCCCCCTCCCTCTCCGAGTGCCCGGAGGCCGAGGCGCTCCCAGCCCTGGCCGCTGAGGTAGGCCAACGCGAGCCGGAGCTCCCTGGGGCATCCTTCTTCCTGACCCCAAAATACCTGTGCAGATTTCCCTGTCCATCAGCCAGAAACCACTTACAGCAGAGTCCCAGCAAATGGAAAATTCACCTCTCCACCGCATTCCTGGGTCAGACCCACCTTGATGCATTAAATTATGTTTTTAGACCATGGGCTCTGACTCTTTCTCAGCGCGGCCCCAGGACACGGCCTCCAGACCTCCACCTTGCCATTAAGACTTTAACTGGGCCCTGCATAGCCTCGTCTGTGTCTTGCTTGGCAGCCCCTGCCTTGGCCCTGCCACCTTGGGGGGTGAAAAGATGTGGGGAGATGGGATCGCAGTCTCCCTCTCCCCTGGGCTGCAGCCCTGAATCGGAAGCGCCCAGAGAAGGGAGGTGGGTAGTTAGAGGCCATAGGAGAGGATAGCCTGTGGGAGGAGGTCCAAGGGCAAGCGTTTCTTTTTTTTTTTTTAAATGTTATTTTATTTATTTCTAGAGAGAGAGAGAGAGACAGCGTGATCAGGGTAGGGTCAGAGAGAGAGAGTCATAGACTCTGAAACAGGCTCCAGGCTCTGAGCTGGCAGCACAGAGCCCGACGCGGGGCTCCAACCTGCGAATCATGAGATCATGACCTAAGCGAAAGGCGGAAGCTTAACCGACTAAGCCATCCAGGTGCCCCCAAGGGCAATCGTTTCTGAAGAAGGGAGGGGAAGAGGAAGCACTTCTTCCAAGGGGAGCCAGGAATGAGGCACTTGCCGGCAGGTGATCTTGGAGATGTTTGCCCCAAAAGAAAGAATAGAAGTCCCCCCACAGAAGTACACCCACTCAGGCACATGTATACTCAGCACATGTCCATCTGCTCACACACCAGCTAGATCCACATTCGAAAGAACTGGTAAACAGAGGCAATGCCGTGGACCATCCGTTCCCTGAATTCACACAGAACCATGGGGTGAGGTAGACACGATAGGCGAGGGACAGCCCTTTTTCTGGGGACTTTGCTTCCATTTGCACAGTGGTGTGAGACACCTTCTCTGAACCCGAAAGTATTCGTTGGGTCTCCCCTCTTTACTTCCCTGAAATATTCCATACTCACCAGGTTAGGAAAACACCCCACAGGGTTTTGATTTTTTTATACTTTCCATTTTTGTTTTGTTTTTAAGTCCCCGCATTCCGCTAAACAGTAAGTTATCTACAAAATAACCAGCTAGCAACCTGTGAGGTCTTACTGGGCTCATGGGGATCAGCTGTCTGAAGAGAAATGTGAGCGTGTGCAGAGGTGACCCCAGAGTGCGCGTACCCGGGCAAAACTGGAAATACGCACGCGTGCACACACGTCCCTTGCATGGATATAATGTTGTGGTTGTCATTGCCAATCCAGGTGACACATGCGCACGCACGCGTAGTCACAGGTCCCCATCGATGTGGTGTGTGACATGGCTGTATGTCTGCTCCCAAATCACACTGTGCTTGACTTTAGTTCTTGGAGAGTGCTGGAAGCCCTGAGTCCCATCTGAAAGACAATTACACTCCCTGCCTTGAGTCCTGTCACTCGAGCTATTCCTCTTCAGGCTCTTATTTTATATGACTAATGTTTTATTGTCATTCACTTGAGTATTAGTGATGATTGCGTCTGCTTTGAGTCCAGGAATGAAGTGCTGGAAGAGAGCTGGGAGAAAACATTTACACATATACATATACATATACATATACATATACATATACATATATACATATATACACATACATACATATACACATATATACATATGTATACACATATATACATATACACATACTTATACATGTATATGTATATATGTATATGTATATAGAATGTGTGTGTGTGTGTGTGTGTGTACACACACAAACCACGGAACCCCAGTTCTTCACTCCACCCCACTCCAACCCCCGATTGTGGAGCCCAAAGCCAGCCGAGCTCAGGAACAGGGGAGGGCAGAGTCGGGGCCGATCTGCACTTGTACTCGTATCAATTTCTGATGCCTTGTCGATTGTATCATCCAGAAATGCGATTAAAACCAAATGTCTGAGACCCAAATGAAGTCTAATTGCTATGGATCCGCAATCCCCAGTGGGCTCTTAATCCTTTTTGACTTATTCCTCCCCTTCCTCCGATGACATGGAGCTTAGACAAAGCCCTCGGTTTAAATTTCAAAAATTAAAATTGACATGCAGCGGTGGCTTTCCTGGGAACAGGAGGAATTTCTAAGGAGGTGCCCGAGCCCAGCTTTATCCTCTGCATTAAGAAGCAATTTGTACTTCTAACAAAACCCCCACTGCTCCCCTTTGGTAGAAGGGCAGTAGAAACGCCTCGCCCGGTTCGGCTGTTCACAACACTTAGACGAATTTGAATCTGAGGTTTCCTCCATCTGTATTCCCCCGGTGCGGCTGGGCTTCTTGTAATTCTAATGCCCAGGCAGCCAGGAGGTGCTGCCAAGGTGTCAGCTGCTAAGAGGATGATAGATGGATGAGGTGGCAGGCTGGAGGCAGCAGCTTTACCAGCTCAGGACAACCTCTTTCTGTGGCTGCTCCCTCCCCCATGTCCCAGGCGGGCCCCTCAGGGCTCGTTGAAGTCCACTATGCTATGATCTCTGGAGGACGCACCTGCCCCCTTCACGAGCTATCAGTCGTGGAGTGCACCTGGAATGCCAGACATCATTTGCCCCAGACACTTACCCTTCTCATCTCTGGGGGAGTAGAGAATCATCACCCATCACACTTAGGAAGTCTTGTCTTCATTTCCCAGTTGCTTTGGGGTCTGTTTTCTAACTGTGTTCTAAGGTTGGGATTATGATACTGGCATCTCCCAGGAAGTAGGGAAGTATTTGTCCATTTGGGAGGTGGGGAAATTGGGGCTCTAAGAGTTCTAGTCACTTGCCCAAGTCCACAAGGGTAGAAAGCTGAACCAGGACTTGACCTCCAGGCTGAGCCTTTGCCTGATTGCCCAGACCAAGCATGTCCACCTCCCAGATTTCACAGGCCTTTGAGAAGAGATCGCATGGGTGGGACATACTTCCTACCCTGTCTAACATCCCCTGATGTAGGGCATCTCGGCACCCCCAAAGGGTCAGACAAGAAGAGCCGGCCCTGCTTTTTTGGCCCAGGCTACCTGCAGAGAGCATTCCAGAGGCTCCCACTCCTGAAGACTGGCTGAACATTCTGGCCTTGGGGTCAGTGTTGACCCCCTTTGGTCCCAAACTCCAAATGCTCTATTTGGATCTACATGTCTCCATCAGCAACCTCCCATCACCCTTCTCTTTGGGGTCTATTGACTTCTCTTATAACAGCTTTCCTTCTCCCTTTTGGTGGGGGGAAGAGGGGTGTCTTGCAGGTGCAGAGGGCTAAGCAGCAGTGAGCATGGCTGTCCCTGATGGTGAGAGGCCCCTTTCTTTATTCCCAGAGTTTACATCTATGTGACTAATTATTTTCAGGACCGCCTGAAGTGCGGGCCATACGCACCTGGCCCTGGAAATTCAGACAGAAGTTCTGCCATCTGCTACACTTTCCTTCTATCTGTGTGAGCAGGTGACTGTTTTGGGGACCCAAGACAAAGCATCAAGGGTCCCCCTCTGCATGGAGATATGATGACACTGTGGAGGGCCGTATTATGGAGCCCAGTTGCTCCAAACTTCACTGATCGTGCAGTCCTATTCAACAAACATTTTTGGAGTACTCACACCCAATCTATGTATTTGACTTGTGAATAATTTATGTACACTACTGTCAATCCATACTTTAAAAAAAGGTCTATCTTTGCGTATTCATATTCATCAACGGATCTACACATTGGAGTCAGTAACTTGCTTTTCAATGGGCTAACCAAGCTTGGAGAAAGGTCTCCTTTCACTGGAATAAAACAAAACAAGGGTTAATCCGTGTGTTTTCTTCGATTTCCATTTTTTCCCCAGAATCTTCGGCAAGAGAATATGTTCTTTTATGTGTCACAGGTGAGGCTCTACACTTGAATGCTTTGTGTACACAGCTTCAATCCTTATTTTAAGTATTAGTGATGCTTGATTTTCCTTTTTTAGATGAAAAATAAATACAACTCGAGCTTCAATATTTCCTTTTTATACCTGAGTTTGAGGCTCTGATGTTGGCATTGGAGCAAACTCATGGAATCAGGATGGGCCAGGGAGGTCTCTCTCAGGGACCCTCTGACTGCTGGGGAGAATGAACTTGGCAGGTGGAAATGAAGAATTTCAGAGGAAGGTTTTGGTCTCCTGTTATTGCCGTGTTCTGATTCCCTTCAATGATCGAGAATGCTCCCCAGAGGAGCGTGAATCAGGCCAGCAATTGCAGTAAATAATAGGAGCCGTCATTTTAAAAAATAAATCCTACCATAATAATTTCAAAAATACTCATAAGAAAATGGAATAGTACAATGAGCTCTCATGTGCCTTTCACTGAGCTTTGACAATCACCAAATCACCGCCAATCCAGGCAGAACTACAGTTTTTATTTATTAAGCCCTTATGATGTGCCAGGAATTGGTGCTAGGGCACGACTGTTTCCTCAGAATGCCCCTGGGAAGTAAATATTGCTATTAGTCCCACTTTACAGATGGGGAAACTCAGGCTCAGGGAGATTTTTGAGACTGCCCAAGGTAAAGGCCAGGACTAAGATCCATTTGTCCCCAGAGCCCAAACTCTTGCGGATATGGGCGGGGCAGGGGGGTGCAATCTCAAAGACAAACCATACACCGAGTGCATTGATACAAACAAGCCTCCCCATCAAACACTCTGAAGCTGCATCAGAGTCTTTCTGTGGAGGCTCCCTATGCACCCACTCTCCCCTGATACTGCAATCAGCTGGTTTCCAGAACTTGTTCTCCTCCTTCTTGCTGTTCCATACTCCACTCATGCTATTCCCTCTGGGTTGGCTTCTTCACCTCCTTTAGGGCTCAGCTGGCAGGTGACTTCCACTGGCCCCCAGCCTCCCCCTGTGCCCGAGGTTTTCCTCTTCTCCTCTTCCCTGAAGGTCCACAAAACACTGACCTTCCCTACCATGGTGCTGGCCACACTGCTGTAATTGCATTTGGTTATCTGTCTTCCCCATGGACTGTAGGCTTCACTAGGGTAGATCTAGCCTCTGTACAGGTCACCATTGCACCTCCTCCCTTT